CCGGCACGCTGCCTTCTGCTGTCGGAATCACGGGTCTGCGCGCTTCAAGAGTCACAAAGCAAAAACCGCATCCTGAACGCCTCTTCCACCAAAAACCACCTCTCATGTTCAGTTAGGAATTGTGTGATTTGGGATCTAACGGGTGATTAGGGCAAATAAATATCAGTTTTAACAATAACGAAACAAAGCATTACCATTTACGGCTGTAGCAGCGTTTGGCATTTCATTCACAGATTCTGTTGTTGTTTCCGTTTTTGGGAATGGTGGTAGCTCTCTGGACAGAGATTCCATATCTGGAACCTTACAGGGAAAATAAAAAGGAAAGACAGGCAGGACAATTTGCTCCTGGTCAATATAAAATCACACAACAACTGATAGCTAAAAATAAGTCCAAAAAGTTATCCTTATAATATATTTTAGTCCAAGTTACCATTTACAATGATGATATATAGCAAACAGTTAGTGTTCAGCTACAGTACACACAGCAATCTTACCTGAGTGAGCAAGAATGCTTTGCCAAATTCAGACGCAAAATACGGTGGTATTATTCTTTTCCTGAGGGCTTCCCGGCATTTCTTCTCTTCTAGCACCTCCTGTCTGCATTGTCAGGACAACATTTCAGTTTCACACAATACTAAACACTTCCCTGTAGATTTTAAAACACTTTTACAACACGGGTAGCATGCACTGGTACATTTAAGTCTTACTATGGTATAATCTAAATGCACTCCAAATAGAATTAGTTGTGAAATTATTTTGTCACGTAGAGGAAAAAGGGTAGACTGTACTGTATGTGAGAGAAGGGAAGGGACAGAAGTACTAAACTACACACAAAAGCAGTATAAATAAAACAAAGTCATAATAAAGGAGATCTATTATTATTTTCATGCTTAAGATTTCTCAAGAAATTAGCAGCTTCAGTTTCCAAACTTTGAAGTGATGTTACTGTAAGAACTGGTTTTAACGTTTCTTCCAAAGCAGCCATTTTGTCTGCCGAGAGATTTGGAAGGTTCTGATTCACATTTTGATCACGGTAAAAAGCTCAGTTCATACAAGCCACCACATGGTCTACAAATACTTTTAAGCTTTACGTTTTTACACGGTGTATTATGTTTACACTTCGGGTCTGACAGATATCTCATCTGAATGTCCCTCTTCCACGCTGCATTACCTGCGCTGCTCTAGTCTGCCTGCCCACACAGACACCCGTTTGACTCCCTGCCTGCTGCGTGTCAAAGATGGAGAGAAAAAAGGAGAAAACTGCAGACTGGCTGACCTCCACAGATAGGGTTAAAATAAAAAAATACAAGGTGTCGGTGAAAAACAGTTGTCACAGGCAGTAAACCAAGTGGAAGAATGTCAAGTGTCATCCATCTTAAACAGTGTCTCCCACCCTGGGAGTGTCTGAAGCAGTTCAGTTTTCTCTGTCCAGGACATGTTTGATTTAGTGAAGGGAAGTGATTGGTTCACAGGTCCCTCAAGAAGGAAAACACGCCTCGTACCAAGGGGAATGCACCAGTCACATTCCTGGTCTATCACCGAAATGCAGGACGAGAGTGAATGTGCAGATAATTGGATTAATGGATCATAACATGGCCATTCTTTCTATGGAGTCAGCAGAGTGACTGAGCACTCACAAAGAGGACTGACCTTAAAAATGGCTTTGGATCCCAAAGGTCTGTTTTTTCAAAGTTAAATTCAGCAAGATAAGATCATCTTTTGATACCCGCTATGATAAGTGGGGATTATAAGTATAGGTTTTTAGGGAAATGAAATCCTGTACGGGCAAAAGTTGCGAGACTACAAGCCCTACCTGTCCCTGTCCCAGTCCTCTTGCGAGCGCTTCGATTGCACAGGTTCGAGAGGGGGTTCTGGAGGACCGCTGATGGCTTGCGTGTACAGGGCAGCAATATCTGGAGGAACACAGTCAGAATTTGTGATGCAGGTAAAAAAGTTCACCCTGTACTGATTCATATTTAAAAAAAAAAATAATGCATTTACTCCCATTGTCGGTTTACTGTTTTGTTTTTTGTTATTTTGGTTTCATACAGAGTAAACTGAGGAAACTAAGGAAAGCAAAGGAGGTAAGAAAAGCGAATGTATGTGTGTTTGTAGCATGCTGCACATTGTACAACAGAAGCTCAACAGCCTTGGAAAGAGCAGGGAAGAACAGGGAGAGCAAACTGTTCCTGTGGTAAAGAGAAGAGCCAAAGCACAGGGGAAGTGTTCAGAAAGCACGGCGGGCGTCTGGCACACTGGGTCACACTGGGTCACACTGGGTCACACTGGGTCACACTGGGTCACACTGGGTCACACTGGTGCTCGCGGGTTTCTAGGCGTCACGGTGCAGCATGCGCCTCACCACAGCTCCCTCTCTCCCCTCCAGCTGCCGCGGCTCCTTCCACATCTGGGTAAGACTGCCACGAGGAAGAGAGGGTCCTTCAGCAACCCCCTCTGAACTATGCAGCTAATACCTCAATGCCATATTTTGGTCATGTTTTAACACCTTAAAATATGTTATATGTACATAATTTAGTTTTAGTTTAATTAAATTGTCTACTTCTGTACCAGAAATTAAAGCACATTTGAACAAAAGTAAAAGAAATAAAAAAGCTTCTTCTGACATATACCGTACATGTACTATACATATTGTATAACATACAGTAACTATTACAGTATATATATATTGTATAACATAACTGTTTTATTGTATGTATATACAGTATGTTGAGAAGTATGAAAAACACAACAAATGCCATT